ACAGATAAGAAAACAAATCATTACAATGAAGGATAATAAGTGAAGTGCTTTGATGGCTCAGCTTTGGGAGGGAGGTAGAGGCAGTGAGAAGTTAATAATGAAACTAAATATTACAAAGGAAAAATAAAAATTAGCCAAATAAAGGAGAGCACACACTCCAAGCAAAAGAAAAAACAGGGTTGGGAGGATGCTGCAGAAGGCAAGGATATACAATGAAACTTCACATCTTCAGAAAACATCAATGAAAGGGAATCCTGGCAATTCTCAGATCTAACATTCATGATTTTTTCCATTTACAAATATACCTACAGGATCACGACATATACTGAATCTTTCATTTTGATTACAAGACAAATATGAATCATGAATAATATAAGACTAGTACACTGACATCTAAAGATGACTTCTGAGATACTGGGGTGACAGAGTCAGTCAGTTCAGCTCTGTTCAGTCGCTCAGTCGTGTCCTACTCTTTGCAACCCCATGGACTACAGCACGCCAGGCCTCCCTGTCCGTCACCAACTCCCGGGGTTTACTCAAACTCATGTCCATTGAGTCAGTAATGCCATCCAACCGTCTTATCCTCTGTCATCCCCTTCTCCTCCCACCTTCAATCTTTCCTAGCATCAGGGTCTTTTCCAGTGAGTCAGTTCTTCACATCAGGTGGCCAAAGTATTGGAGTTTCAGCTTCAACGTCAGTCCTTCCAATCAACACTCAGGACTGATTTCCTTTAGGATGGACTGTTTGGATCTCCTTGCAATCCAAGGGACTCTCAAGAGTCTTCTCCAAAACCAAAGTTCAAAAGCATAAATTATTCGATGCTCAGCTTTCTTTATAGTCCAACTCTCACATCCATACATGACTACTGGAAAAACCATAGGCTTGACTAGACAGACCTGTGTTGGCAAAGTAATGTTTCTGCTTTTTAATATGCTGTCTAGGTTGGTCATAATTTTTCTTCCAAGGAGCAAGCATCTTTTAATTTCATGGCAACAGTCACCATCTGCAGGGATTTTGGAGCCCAGAAAAATAAAGTCTGACACTGTTTCCACTACTTTCCCATCTATTTGCCATGAAGTGATGGGACCAGATGCCATAATCTTAGTTTTCTGAATGTTGAGCTTCAAGCCAACTTTTTCACTTTCCTCTTGCACTTTCATCAACAGGCTCTTTAGTTCTTCTTCGCTTTCTGCCATAAGGGTGGTGTCATCTGAATATCTAAGGTTATTGATATTTCTCCTGGAAATCCTGGTTCCAGCTTGTGCTTCATCCAGCCCAGCACTTCTCTTTACTCTGCATATAAGTTAAATAAGCAGGGTGACAATCTGGAACCAGTCTGTTGTTCCAAGTCGAGTTCTAACTGTTGCTTCCTGACCTGCATACAGATTTCTGAGGAAGCAGGTCAGGTGGTCTGGTATTCCCATCTCTTGAAGAATTTTCCACAATTTATTGTGATTCACACAGTCAAAGGCTTTGGCATAGTCAATAAAGCAGAAATAGATGTTTTTCTGGAACTCTCTTGCATTTTTGATGATCCAGCGGATGTTGGCAATTTGATCTCTGGTCCCTCTGCCTTTTCTAAATTGAGCTTGAATATCTGGAAGTTCATGGTTCATATACTGTTAAGCCTGGCTTGGAAAATTTTGAGCATTACTTTGCTAGCATACGAGATGAGTGCAATTGTGTGGTAGTTTGAGCACTGCCTTTGGCACTGCCTTTCTTTAGGATTGGAATGAAAACTGACCTTTTCCAGTCCTGTGGCCACTGCTGAGTTTTCCAAATTTGCTGGCATATTGAGTGCAGCACTTTCACAGCATCATCCTTTAGGATTTTAAATAGCTCAACTGGAATTCCATCACCTCCACTAGTTTTGTTTGGAGTGATGCTTCCTAAGGCCCACTTGACTTCGCATTCCAGGATGTCTGGCTCTAGGTGAGTGATCATACCATCCTGGCTCATTAAGATCTTTTTCATATTGTTCTTCTGTGTATTCTTGCCACCTCTTCTTAATATCTTCTGCTTCTGTTAGGTCCATACAAATTCTGTCCTTTATTGAGCCCATCTTTGCATGAAATGTTCTCTTGGTGTCTCTAATTTTCTTGAAGACATCTCTAGTCTTTCTTTCCCACTCTAATATTTTCTTCTATTTCTCTGCATTGATCACTGAGGAAGGCTTTCTTTTCTCTCCTTGCTCTTCTTTGGAAGTCTGCATTCAAATGGGTATATCTTTCCTTTTCTCCTTTGCCTTTCGCTTCTCTTCTTTTCACAGCTATTTATAAGGCCTTCTCAGACAACTATTTCGCCTTATTGCATTTCTTTTTCTTGGGGATGGTCTTGATCCCTGCCTCCTGTACAATGTCACAAACCTCCATCCATAGTTCTTCAGGCACTCTGTCTATCAGATCTAATCCCTTGGATCTATTTCTCACTTTCACTGTATAATCATAAGGGATTTGATTTAGGTCATACCTGAATGGTCTACTGGTTTTCCCTACTTTCTTCAATTTAAGTCTGTATTTGGCAATAAGGAGTTCATGACCTGAGCCACAGTCAGCTCCTGGTCTTGTTTTTGCTGACTGTATAGAGTTTCTCCATCTTTGGCAGCAAAGAATAAACTCAGTCTGATTTCGGTGTTGACCATCTGGTGATGTCCATGTGTAGAGTCTTCTCTTGTGTTGTTGGAAGAGGGTGTTTGCTATGACCAGTGTGCTCTCTTGGCAAAACTCTATTAGCCTTTGCCCTGCTTCATTCTGTACTCCAAGGCCAAACTTGCCTGTTACTCCAGGTGTTTCTTGACTTCCTATTTTTGCATTCCAGTCCCCTATAATGAAAAGGAAGTCTTTTTGGGGTGTTAGTTCTAGAAGGTCTTATAGGTCTTCACAGAACTGTTCAACTTCAGCGTCTTCAGCATTACTGGTCGGGGCATAGACTTGGATTACTGTTATGTTGAATGGTTTGCCTTGGGAACGAAAGGAGATCATTGTATCATTTTTAAGACTGCATCCAACTACATTTCGGACTCTTGACTATGATGGCTACTCTATTTCTTCTAAGGGATTCTTGCCCACAGTAGTAGATATAATGATCATCTGAGTAAAATTCACCCATTCCAGTCAATTTTAGTTCGCTGATTCCTAAAATGTCGATGTTCACTCTTGCCCTCTACTGTTTGACCACTTCCAATTTGCCTTGAGTCATGGACCTAACATTCCAGATTCCTATGAAATGTTGTTCTTTACAGCATCGGCCCTTGCTTTTATCACCAGTCACATTCACAATGGGGTGTTGTTTTTGCTTTGGCTCCATCCCTTCATTCTTTCTGGAGTTATTTCTTCACTGATCTCAGTAGCATATTGGGCATCTCCCCACCTGGGGAGTTCATCTTTCAGTGTCCTATCTTTTTGCCTTTTCATACTGTTCATGGGGTTCTCAAGGAAACAATACTGAAGTGGTTTGCCTTTCCCTTTTCCTGTGGAGCACATTTTGTCAGAATTCTCCACCATGACCAGTCCATTTTGGGTGGCCCTACATAGCATGGCTCATAGTTTCACTGAGTTAGACAAGGTTGTGGTCCATGTGATCAGATTGGTTAGTGTTCTGTGATTGTTGTTTTCAGTCTATCTGCCCTCTGATGGAGAAGGATAAGAGGGTACAGAAGCTTCCTGATGGGAGATGTGACAGAGTAGTTGGTGATACTGATAAGAAATAGGAAAAGGAAGTTATCAGGTGAAAATGAATTTAGTTTTGATATCTAAAAATAGTGATGTTTCCTAAAGGCAACACAGAATGAGGGATAAGAGCCCAGGGGAAACATTCAGCTTTGTCTCCTACAGTTCAGAATGTTATTAACATTATACAGGTGGTAATTGAATCTATGGTACCAAGTAGATCAATCAAAGATACTGAAGACAGTAAAAGAAAAAAAAATTATGACTAAATTCCTACTTAAACACGTCCATTTTAATTCAGTGTTAATGCAAGAGGTCTAAGCAGAGTGCTTACTGTATGCCCAATAGTAGCTTACCAAACCAGGCTCAGTGATGAGGGAAGCATGTAGATAAAGAAGTAAAGACAAGGGTAAAAATAAGGTGCTTTTAAGTTGATGCCATTGTCAGTATCAGTAAGAAACAGGTGACTGTGTTAAGTGAGAAAGGCGGTACTCGGTTATGGAGTTTTAATTACATACTACAGAAAAGACTGAATCTTATCCTTTAGGTCTCAGTGTTCACTAACTGTCCTGAATGGATGAGATGAAAATCTAGGAGAGTAAAAATCCTTGAAGATGATTTTCTTGGAGCATGTTTGTCAGAATCACTGCTTTAAACAATGGTACAGCACTGTAGGTGTTTCAGCAGTGAGTACCATGATGAAAGGGATATTGAGGAAAACCATATAAAGGCCTATGGGAAGCATTGGTGGGGTAGAGGCCAGGAAGCAATGTATAACCCTGAGACGTGGATTTTATAGAGAAAGATGTAGGTTCAGCTCCCAGCTCTAGCAACTTACTAGGTATGTGACTTTGAGCAAATTACAACCGATTAGTACTTAATTTACTCATAGGTAAAATGGAAATAACAATACCTACCTTACAGGGCTGTGATGAGAATTAATGAAAAGAATAACTATATATAAATTATATTAAAATGAATATAAGCACTTTGGTCTGTCACTGTTTATTACAGTAATATTAATAAGAAACCATCTAGTAATCCAATTAAACCAACAGCAATAAAAATCTGAATCATGAAATTAAGTCATTCTTTAACCCCAGTTTGTAACTGATTTTAAAAATGCCAGATTAAAAAACATATTTCAAATCATTTCAGAAATTGCAAACATTACTGACCACACAAATCATTTTATGAATCAGTTCAATGAACATTTAAAATCTGCTGTAAAACATGCTGCCCTATATATAGCAGTAGATACAAAAATGAGTGAGAATATAGATCCCAATCTCTTTTACAATTCTGAACAAAGGGCAAATTAAGAGTTTTACCTGACTAACTCGATTCACTTCCTCCTCTTCTTCCTCAGCTTCCTCTCCAAAGGAAAGTAAACTAAAATTTCTATTCAAAAAGAAAGACGGAAAAAAGAATGAAATAAAATTAGAAAGAAAAAGTTAAAAGTTATAAATATCCTATTTTCAAAGCAATAGAACACAATTTGCTAGAATAAACACATTCTCTCAATAGACAATAATTACTAATATAATAAGAATATATATTTTCAGCATAACATTAAATGTTTGGTTCCAGATGTTTTATATATTGTTGATGTTGTTCAGTTGCAAAGTCATGTGCTAACCCATGGACTGCAGCATACCAGGCTTCCCTGTCCTTCACTAACTTCTGGAGTTTGCCCAAATTCATGTCTGTTGAGTTGGTGATGCTATGTAACCATCTCATCCTCTGCTGCCCCCTTCTCCTCTTGCTTCAATCTTTCCCATATTTCACATATTAAACTAAACTAATGACCAAAAATCTATCCTGAAAACTACCATTAAGTGCACTAACTCAAGCATGGCAGAAATAATGAAAGCTCTCTGTGGGTTTCCCAGGTGGCACCCACAGTAGAGAACCTGCATGCCAGTACAGCAGACATCAGAACCTCCGGTTCTATCCCCAGGTCTGAAGATGCCCTGGAGGAGGGCACAGAAACACATCCCAGTACTCTTGCCTGGACGACCTCCATGGACAGAGGAGCCTGGTGGACCACAGTCCACAGTGTTGCAAAGAGCTGGGTATGACTGAGCAACTCAGCACAGCACAGCATACTGTCAAAACTAGGTAGCAAAATAAGGATTGCTAAAAACTAATAAACATATAGCTCTGAGAGTACTATAAATGGGAAGCAATTCATCTAGTGTCTGCCAAAATAATTCCAATATTTTAAAATTAGTAAGTTACACAAAATTATGGGGGGGGGGCAACAAACTTAGCTAAGCAAACAGTCCACGGGAATAAAAAACTAACTTTGTCTTTTTTGACCCTTCAGATTAATACATCACAAGGAAGATAAATAGTAAGTTATTAAAACTCCTCTGAAATACTGGAAAAACAAAAGATCTGGCAATAAAAGAGGAATTTTCATTTCAAAACTTACTTAGATATAATCAGTAACTATCACATCACCCCTAACATATTTGCTATGAATTAAAAACAAAAACAAAATATCCAACTTTTGGTTTTGCTGTCAAGATAAATCAGTGATGAAATATTATATCTGAATATAGTGACACTAACTTTTCACCCCGATATAAATTAGTCAAAATAAATTAATATAAAATAAAAAGAAATCAAATAAATATACAGTTGTGTAAGAAGTTATTTTGCCACAAGATATCAACTGCCTATTAAAGAGTCTGGCTCATATTTGACAGTTTATAATAGCAACTTAACTTACATTATAGGATATCAAAGAAAGGAAATGAATATGTACTGAATACCCACACTATTGGGTGTCTTCAAATTCCCCTTCTCATTTAATCTTTGTAATAAGCAGATCCTGTACTATAAATCTCCATTTTATAAGATGGGGAAACTGAAGCTCAAAGAGCAGTAGACTTTGCTTCCTATAACTGCAGTAGGCAGGATTATACTTAAAGCTGTCTGAATCTAACACTTATATAACAAAATCCCTAATATGGATGCTACAGTTTAGTAAAAGATAAAGTTGAACTCTAACTCTCTGATACCTATTTTAATAAAACAAACAAAATTAATAATGTAAAGAATATTACTCACAAAAATACTGAAGACATTTCTGTTATTAGAAAACTATCCTCAGGAATTAACCCAGAATACAGAAAGATCTTTATGTGTAAATATATTTATAATAAGGTTATTTTAATAGCATCAAAAAAAGGAGTGAGACAGTTAAATAATATTAACCATATAGTCATTATATCCTTCATACTTTACTTTCCAACTTCTTTATCCTGAGTATGTATTATTGGAAAAACAAGTAAACAAACAAACAAACAAAAGTTTCAACAACTCATTTTATAAATAATTCTTGTGGTGGTCATAAATATTTACCTATTTATTAACAGATCTCATCAGACATCTCAGACAATACTATTTTAGCTTAAGGTTTTAAGTTATACACTGTATTTGAATATAAGAAATGTACATCTAGAAAAAGAAACACACACAGATAATTTAGGCGTCTATCCTGGTCCAAACCGGCCTCCCCCTAACTACTAAACAATTATTACAGAAGGAATCAAAGTGAAATAAGTAAATCAGTGTTGCTTTTCAAGTTGAGGAAAAAAAATCTTTCTACTCTGATTACTTTGTGCCTTTGGGTTTCAATTTCTTCACTTCCTCCTCTGGTTTTTCTTTTTTTGGCTTTTTTATTTCTCTTGGAATGATGTCATCAAAAGGATTAAATAAAACCTATGAAAAGACATATTTTGAAAATATTACTCAATTTTGTTTTAATTTCACAAAAAGTTAAAACCGATATTTAATTATGGTGCCATTAGTGTCTATAATTTCTCCTCACAGAACCAGTATAACAATATATACACTTCCACTTACATGGCCTCATTGGATTCTCCCAGTAATCCAATGTGCTTTTAAGGAAAACATGTTTTATACTTATTCTACAAAAGGGAAAGACATTCAAGAAAACAATATATTAGTTAGAGAGACAAACACAGGTATTTTTTTTTTAAACTCAGGTATTCTGACTGCAAATCAAATGTTCTCAGGCCCTTGTTTTCTCAATGAAGGATTGCTCTTAAATTACCTAAGACAACACTTTACTGGGCTAAATAAACCTAATTCATCCAGCTTTGCATTATGGAGTTTTTCATTCATTGGATTATCAGCTTAAGTTTCATCCTCAAATCCAAAATCTTCCATTAAAAAAAGTCTTAATCAGAAATTGTAACTAAATTACAGAGCTAAAATCCAAGTTGAAAAGTTAATTTAGTATAAAGCTTCATCTGATAACAACACAAATATTCAATTTTTTTTAAGTGATAATTAAAGTAATATATCTCATAATAATCGTACTCATACCTCACAACTTCTTATTTTATGTGGATTTCGTGGTCTTTCTTCATCATCAATGTCTACTTCTGTCAGGCGTAGCATGTTATATACTGTATCCCCTGTAACCTATCAAATAAAAAAGGAAATTTAATTGAAAATTATAAAATTCACTCTTTGAAATCAGGGAGGACTTTTGAAAATATTTTTAAAATAATTAAAAAGGCATTTCATATTGTTATGTAAGATTATACACATTAAACAGTGCAAATAAAGCAACATAATCCTAAGGGGAAAAGGTTTGACGAACTTTAGTTCCTCAGTAAGACCCTTGGGACATTCCCAATATATACCTACTGGCAGTTTTTATTAAAAACACAGCGCCAAGCAACTTCCTCCTGAATGACTATGTTTTGTTCAAACATTATAAACAAACTTAGACTTTAGAAGAGGGTAGAACAAGCAAATAATAAAAACAATGCGGTAAGTGCTTTGAAGACATTATCATGTTTAATCCGCAAAACATCCTAAAAGTAGGTACTATCATTATCTTTCTTTTTGAGATAAGAAAATTGAGGCTGAAAGAAGTTGTAGATCCGACAGTGACTGCCTTTCTGACTTCTAACTACTATGCTATACTTTGCCTCTACCGCGTGAGTTATATAACATCTGTTGTTAACAATGGTGCAGGATAACCTAAATATCATTTCATTAAATACTTTTTGGTTTTTTTAAATAAGAGGGAGGAAAATCCATGAATGTCAGACAACCTGTCTTGGAGTGGCTCAAAAGTATTAAGCAACAATACTGCACTGCATGTTTTTGGCATGACTCCTTTCATTCAGGAGAATGCACTGGAAACCTACTCCAGTACTCTTGCCTGGAAAATCCCATGGACAGAGGAGCCTGGTGGGCTTCCGTCCATGGGGTGGCAAAGACTCGGACACGACTGAGCGACTTCACTTTCACTTTTCACTTTCATGCATTGGAGAAGGAAATGGCAACCCACTCCAGTGTTCTTGCCTGGAGAATCCCAGGGATGGGGGAACCTGGTGCGCTGCCATCTATGGGGTTGCACAGAGTTGGACACAACTGAAGCGACTTAGCAGCAGCAGATGCCTTTCATTCAATATTTAAAAATCTAAAATAATACCAGTTTTCCAGTTGTTCTGTTTGTTTTTATCCTTTTCATCAGCACAAAATCCAGTTTTGTCTGGGATGTGGGGAAACCATTCTAATTGAACCAGCAGAGGGAGCTAATACACTAGTGATGCCTAACACTTAAGGCATCTGAGAACATATTCATGAAAAGGGAGAAGCATGAGAAAAAAAAAAAAAAACCCTTCAGAATCCCTTTAAAAGAAAACTACTGAAAATTCTATGGAAATGACAATCTCTGATATGCTGTTAAATGTCAGCAGGATTAAATAGGTACTATCCAAAGTAATATTTCAGGTAAGCAGTTTAAATGTTAACACAACTTCCACTTTAAACTGAAGGGAATTCATTATTAACAAAATAAATTTTAAACTACTAAATGTTACTACCTAAATGTCTTTCTAAAAACATTAAAACGTATCAGCTGAGCGACATAGCAGTTAATAATGATTAAAACAATTTCAGAAAAAATAAAAATTTTAAGTTAAAAATCAATGACTTGCCTGAAACACACACAGAAAAATTCAGGTGGTCCCTCACAGTGCCTTATAACAGGAATACGAACATTTCACCATTTTTAGAAATAATAAATAAATATCCTAGGGAGTATTTTTATGAAGGCAGTTCTTAGGTAAGTTAATCGCATACATCATAGAAGCCTAAGATAACTGGATACAAACCTTTCCAAAGATGGTGTGCTTATTGTTAAGTTCATCAGCTCGACCCAGGGTAAAGAAAAACTGGCTGCCATTATCGTGAGGGCCAGCATTTGCCATGGCAACCAGTCCTCTCCGATTAAAACGCAACCGTGAGTGGAATTCATCCTGAAGCATTAAAAAAAAAAAAGATTTAGTGAATGTCCTCAGTTATTAGGCCCTTCATATTTCAGCGAACAAAAAAGGTCCCACACAACTTCTACTGATTTTCACATATAATCAAATCCAATATCTACAGTATCTTCAATCTACTAATCTTGACTTAACTCACCTGTGTCTTCTAAATATACTCAAACACAAATTTTTTGTGGGAAGTTGCCTACTTACACTGAGAAAGGGTACTCAAGGGGAATGGATTTCTGAGACATTTCCCTATTCTTCTCATCCCTCAAAGCCATCTAGGCTTTCAGTTCAGTTCAGTTCAGTTCAGTCACTCAGTCATGTCCAACTCTTCGTAATCTCATGAACCGCAGCACACCAGGCCTCCCTGTCCATCACAAACTCCCAGAGTTCACCCAAACCCATGTCCATTGAGTCAGTGATGCCATCCAACCATTTCATCCTCTGTCGTCCCCTTCTCCTCCTGCCCTCAATCTTTCCCAGCATCAGGGTCTTTTCCAATGAGTCAGCTCTTTGCATCAGGTGGCCAAAGTACTGGAGTTTCAGCTTCAACATCAGTCCTTCCAATGAACACCCAGGACTGATCTCCTTTAGGATGGACTGGTTGGATCTCCTTGCAGTCCAAGGGACTCTTCAAGAGCCTTCTCCAACACCACAGTTCAAAAGCATCAATTCTTCTGCCCTCACCAGTCGAACTCTCACATCCATACATGACCACTGGAAAAACCATAGCCTTGACTAGATGGACCTTTGTTGACAGAGTAATGTCTCTGCTTTTTAATATGCTGTCTAGGTTGGTCATAACTTTCCTTCCAAGCTTTCAGAACCGTCTATTTCTTTTTTCTCCAGGATAACTACTTTTGAGTCATTATAGAGGCTTCAATGGGTTTCCCTTGTGGGTCAGTTGGTAAAGAATCTGCCTGCAATGCAGAAGACCCCAGTTCAATTCTCGGGTTGGGAAGATCCGCTGAAGAAGGGAAAGGCTATCCACTCCATATTCTGGCCTGGAGAATTCCATGGACTATATAGTCTATGGGGTCACAAAGAGTCAGACATGACTGAGTGACTTTCACTTTCACTTTAAAACTTAAGCCACATTATTAAATCTGAATTAATTATTAGGGCTTCCCTTGTGGCTTAGCTGGTAAAATATCCACCTGCAACACAGGAGACCTGGGTTTGATCCTTGGGTTGTGAAGATCCTCTGGAGAAGGGAACGGCCACCCACTCCAGTATTCTGGCCTGGAGAATTCCATAGACTGTACGGTCCATGGGGTTGCAAAGAGTCGGACATGACTGTGAAACTTTCACTTCACTTCAGAAGCTTCAACTATTCTCTTCTTGATCCTTTTCTGAATGTCATGAAACAACTGTTTTCTTATTTTTTTTAATTCAAGGAAGCTACTGTGATTGTGTTAGGTGCTTTACTATGCTTTTTAAAATTTTAAGTTGAAATTTCTTTGAACTAGCACTGGTTCCATTTGCCAGTTTTCAAAAAAGCAGGAGCAAGCCATTATAAGGTGGTTTTCTTGCTAGGGTAGGGCTACCTAACATTTACACCAGTCTCTTAGTTAACAGAAGACCTGATACTAGACTCACTATAATATAGACATGTTTTATAATCAATGCTTTTCAAAAAGAAAGTTCTTTTCCTTTAGTAAATTCTTCTCAAGAGATCTAAACTCAAAAGATCGTGACTCTATACACTGTATTAAAAATGACCTAACTGAAAAATTTACCAGGCTTCCCTGGTGGCTCAGTGGTAAAGAATCCACCTGCCAATGAAGGAGACATAGGCTTGATCCCCGGTCCTGGGAAATTCCCATGCCATGTAGCAACTAAGCTGGTGGGCCACAACTCTTGCACCTGCACTCTGGAGCCTGGCTATTGCAACTACCTAGCCCACGGACTGCAAGGAAGAAAGCCCCCACTCCCCACAACTAGAGAAAAGCCCACGCAGCAGCAAAGACCCAGCTCAGCCCAAATTACATAAAATCAATTTAAAACTTTACCAACATAACTGTATTACCTGAATAAAACAAGCAAAAATCTCCATTTAGAAAGGAATTGTCACAAAGAGCTATTCTGTTAACCAAATAACAAAGGAATGCTTCCTAACAGATGGAGGCTCTAAAATAAAGAGATATCTCAATTTTGTAACATATAAAATAGTCTAACAGTGACATTTGAGATTTTTTAAACTATTTCACATGCTCTAAAGGCCATTATCATTTGAAAATTAAAGCAAACAGTTCAAGTATTTTTCTCAAGAGTCATATAGTAGCCCAGTATAAAATTAAAGGAAATTCCAGACACTATCCTTTTAGTGTAAGTGTGAATTTTTTTAAAATTCACATATTTTAAGAGCTACTGATGTTTACTAATAGAACATAATATTGATACCATAAGATTGATAAATAACCTAGCTTGTAGCCTTTACTTGAACATACCATTATCCTTAATATCTTAAATATGACATTAACTCTTTCTTTTTAGATCTATGTTAGCAGTTAACAAAGCATTGACCTATTTTTGATTAAAACTTACATCCTTTCTAACATTTTTTATGTTGCTTCTTTCTTCTATTTCCCCATATTATGGCATGCATTTTGTGATTTCTTATTAAGGCATGCAGTTTTTGCTACAAAGGTCTACTGCGTACAGTTTAAAATGAATTCTGCTGTGGACTGAATTATGTCCTCCTGGAGTTCATGTTGACACTCTAACCTCCAGTGTGACTGTACCGAAGAGGAAAAGACACCAAAATGCTCTCTCTCCAGCATGTGAAGATGCAGCAAGAAGGCAGCCATTTGCAAGCCAGGAAGAGAACCTTCACAGGTAGTGAATGCTAGTACCTTGATCTCAGACTTCTCAGCCTCCAGACTGTGAGAAATAAACTCCTACTGTTTAAACCACACAGTGAGAAGTACTATTTTATAGCGGCTCGAGTCAATTAATATAAATTCTATGTATTGTTAAAATAAAATGTTTTAAAATCAGATGGTATATGCAATGTTCTAGAAACGTTTTACATGTGCAAAGTTATAGAGATCAGATAGTCAGATATCAGGAAAAATGCTATACAGTCTTTTCTCTGATTCACATTATTCTCATTACCACTTTTAGCTCCACCTGAATTCAATCTAGCATAAAACTCTGTGATAAGACAACTTAGAAAGAAAGCTTAATGGGATAAGTGCTGCATTTATTCTGTATAATCCTGAATATGTTATAGACCCAATTTTGTGTACTAATGTAAAATGCATTTTCTTCTGGGGCTCAATCATTTCAATTAAGCAATCCAAACTGACCTGAAAATAAATTGTAAAATTCACGCTCACCTTGAAGGGGGCCCCATAGACAGACTCTCCGCCAGTCCCTGTGCCGGTGGGGTCGCCCCCTTGGACTATAAAGCCAGGCACAACTCTGTGAAATATGGTGTTGTCATAATATGCTGGAAGAACATAAAGAAGAATTTATCATTCTCTGTCATTTCAGTGTTAGTATAAAGAAATGCAACAGATTTCTGAATGTTAATCTTGTATCCTGCTACCTTGCTGAAATCATTTATCAGTTCGAATAGTTTTTGTGTGGAGTCTTTGGGGTTTTCTACATAGAGTATCATGCCATCTGCATATAATGACAATTTTACCTCGTCCTTTCCACTTTGGATAACTTTTATTTATTTTGCTTGTCTAATTGTTATGGCTAGGACTTCTAATACTACTGAATAAAAGTGCTAAGAGTGGGTATCCTTGTCTTGTTCCAAATTTTAGCAAGAGGGCTTCCAGTTTTTCACCATTGAGTATTATGCTGACTGTGGGTTTGTTACAAACAGCGTTTATTATGGTGAGATATTTCCCGTCATACCCATTTTGGTAAGAGTTTTTATCATGAATGAACACTGAATTTTATCAAATGCTTTACTGAGATGACCATGTGGTTTTTGTCTTTTTTGTTGACAAAACAGTCCTTTTTAAAACCACAATAAAAAATAAAATAAAATACCTAGGAATAAACCTGACCAAGGAGGTAAAAGACCTATATACTGAGAACTATAAAACACTGATAAAGGAAATCAGAAATGATTCAAAAAATGGAGATATCCCACACTTGTAGGTTAGAAGAATTAACATTGTTAAAGTGGCCATACTACCCAAACCAATCTAAACATTTAATGTGATCCCTATCAAATTATCTATGACATTTTTTATGAAACTAGATCAGTTCAGTTCAGTCGCTCAGTTGTGTACGACTCTTCGCGTAACCCTAAATATATATGCAAAATATAAATGCCAAAATGCCAAAGCAATCCTGAGGGAAAAGAACAAAGGTAGAAGCATAACTATTTCAGACTTCAGACAATACTTCAAAGCCACAGTAATCAAAACATGTGGTCTTAGCACAAAAACAGACATATAGATCAATGGAATGGAATAGAAGGCCCAGAACTAAATCCAAACACTGTGATCAATTATCTTCAACAAAGGAGGCAAGAATAAACAATGGAGAAAAGACAGTCTCTTCAGGAAGTGGTATTAGGAAATCTGGACAGCTGCATATAAATCAATGAACTTAGAAAACAAACTCAAAATGGCTTAAAGACTTAAATATAAGACATCACACAATGAAACTCATAGAAGAGAACATAAGCAAAACTCTGACATAAATCATAACAATGGTTTCCTAGCTCAGTCTCCCAAAACAAATAAAAATACAAGCCAAAGTAAACAAATAGGACCTGGTCACACTTATAAGCTTTTGCACAGCAAAGGAAACTATAAACAAGATGAAAAGACAACCTACGGAATGAGACAGAATATTTGAAAAAGATGAGACTGACCAGGGATTAATTTCAAAAATATACAAACAGTTCATACAGCTTAATAGAACCAAACAACCCAATCAAAAATTGGGCATAAGATGTAAATAAACATTTCTTCAAAGAAGACATACAAATGACCAACAAACACATAAAAGGATGCTCAACATTACTAATTATTAGAGAAATGCAAATCAAAACCATAATGAGGTATCACATCACACCAGTCTGAATGGCCATCATCAGAAAGTCTACAAATAATAAATGGTGTAAATGTCAAGAATGAGAGAGTGTAGAGAAAAAGGAAACCCTCTTACACTGTTGGAAATGTAAATTGGTGTGGCCACTATGGAGAACAGTATGAAGGTTCCCTAAAAAAACTAAAAATAGAGTTACCATGTGATCCAGCAATCCCATTCCTGGGCATATATCCAGAAAAGACAAAAACTCTAATTTGAAAAGATACACACACCCCAATGTCCATACAGCATTATTTACAATAGCCAAGACATGGAAGCAACCTAACTGTCCATCAACAGATGAATGGATAAAGAAAATACGGTTGATAGATAAATATAGCAATATATACATACACATTTATCAATATATATATCTACATATCATGAATGAATGATGAGCAACATGAATGGACTAAAGATTATCATATTAAGTGAAGTCAAGAGTATGTATGATATCACTTACATGGAGAATCTAAAAAATGATATAAATGAACTAATTTACAAAACAAATAGACTAGCAGAGGTAGAAAACAAACTTATGGTTACCAAAGTGAAAAGGGGGTGGAGGAAGGATAAATTAAGAGTTTGGGGACATCCCTGGTAGCCCAGTGGTTGAGAATCTGCCAATGCAGGGGACACGGGTTCGATACCTGATCTGGGAAGATCCTACATGCCATGGGGCATGCACCACAACTACTGAACCTGTGCTCTGGAGCCCACAAGCTACAACTAGCAAAGCCCATGTGCCCTAGATCGCATGCCTCACAAAAGAGAAGCCACTGCAATGAGAAGCCTACACGCTCCAACTAGAGAGCAGTCCCTGTTTGCCTCAACTGGAGAAAGCCCACACACAGCAACAAAGACCCAGCAGAGCCAAAACTTAATTTGAAAAGAGGGCCTGGGATTAGCATACAAACTACTATACAAAAAATAAACAACAAGGATCAGTGGATAACACAGGACACTATATTCAGTATCCTGCAATAACCTATAATGGAATAGAATCTGAATCTATTTACCTATATAACTTTTCTGTACATCTGAAACTAACATACTCTAATAAAATAAAAATTTATCCATATCTAAAACTCAGTGTATCTACAGTTAGAGTTAACACAACTGGGAACAAGATTTTTTTCCCCAGAATGTTAAATAGGCTCCTAAACCAAAATCTTTTCTTCCCTACTTACTATAAAATATCTAACACAGTTTCTACAGAAACCATAGTATTGGTTGTTTTGTATCTACTTCGAGGAATCTCTCAAACTCTGGATATAATTTTCAAAATAAAAATTGAAGAGGTTTTGGTATAGATCTGTGGTTCTCAACTAGGGGTAGAAGGAGCAGCAATTTTTCTCTGTAGCACACATTTGTCAATGCCGGCAAATATCTGGCTGTCACACATGGGAGATGTTACTGGCATCAAGTAGGTAGAGGCCAGGGAGACTTGTAAACATCCCACAAGGCACAGAAAGCCCCCCCCAACAAAGAATTATTAGCCCAAAATATCAATAGTGCCGGAGATTGAGAAACCTTCATAAATACCCTATTTCTTAATTCTCTCTCATCTCCCCATAGAAAATTAACTTATACAAACACTATACAAACCCAAAATATATAAAAATTACTCACTGATTATAGGTCTAGCACCATTAGTGCACCCTTCTCAAGAAACATTCAATAAATAAAATGAGTAATCAACACAATATATAATTGAGTCATTGGAAAAGACTCCGATACTAGGAAAGATTGAGGACAGGAGGAGAAGGGGGCAACAGAGGATAAGATGGTTGGATGGCATCACTGATTCAATGGACATGAGTTTGAGCAAACTCCGGGAGTTGGTGATGGACAGGGAAGCCTGGTGTGCTGCAGTCCATGGGGTGTCAATGAGACAGACATTACTTAGGGACTGAACAACAAATTAGACTCTCTTTAAGTTTGCTAAATGATTAAAGAAATTATTTATATTTATATATAAATACACTAATAAGCATACAAGAGAGATCATATATGATCCCTTAATTGAGCTGGAGTCAATTATTGAGTGCAGTTATAATTTAATCACATGCTGACAACTGCAAAACAGAGATGGAAAGAGCACAGTTCCCTCAAGACTTTACTGAGCTACAGAACTTCTTGACACCAGATTTCTTATCAAAGAGAATGATAAATGTCTCCATTAATTAAATCATTTTGAGTTGAGTCTTCTATTACATGAAACTGAACTAACCCAACTCATTCAACAACAAGTGCTTATCAAGTGCCTACTGTGGACCAGGCATTGTACTGATACAATTATTGACATAATACATAAAATGCCAATTACATGAGTACTTTGTGACACTTTATTAGCCAAAACATGACTATGGTTTGTCATAATTCATAAAGTACTATAATACTGTGGTTTGCTCACAGGCACCCTCATAATTTTTCACACGAGCAAGCTATAACTGGAAATAAAACTCACATTTCAAAAAAGTAACCTGTAATCTAACAACTGTATCCAGTTTGGGGGATGGACTGGAAGAAATAGAAAGAAAGATTAACTGAATTTTTTTCCCCAATCCATTCTCTGAGTGAAGACTGTTGCACTACATTCATAAGAATGCCCAAGCACATATAAATTCCCTTGGATACAAACAGGAATTGTAAAAACCAAGAAGTCTAAAAGTATTTCTCCTATATTCCTAAGTAACCATTTACTCTGATTAACAATGTATATTGCAGTTAGGAATTGTAAGTCTTGCCTCTCATTGGTTGTAACCTTAAAACTCAATTTTCTTTAAAAAAAAAAATTGAGATATAATTGATGTACAAGATTACATTAGTTTCAGATGTACAACACAGGGATTCAATATTTTCATATATTGTGAAATGTTCACAGACAATAAATCTAGTTAACATCCATCACCACACAGTTACAAAATTTTTTTCTTGTGCTGAGAACTTCTAAGATCTACTCTCTTAACAACTTCCAAATATGCAATAACTATAGTCAACATGCTGCACATACAATTTTCTAATTATGAAACCAACAATATAAATTACTCATAGCACTAGTCTGAAGATTAAATAATATGGAGACAACCTATAAATTTTTAAGTTCAACACAGATGTGAGATCAAGCTTTACTATTTCCACTTAAATTCTACAAATCCATATTTAAATTTGAATACCCCAGTCTACATAAAAAAATAAAAATAATCCATCATGCCCATAATATGCAAGCAACAGTTTTTAGCACATGATCAGATTTACTTTTCCAAAGGATCACTTAAACTCCAGTAGGTGACAAGGCTGGATAGAGAGCAACTGCTGTCCAATCCAAACACACCTATGGCTTATCTGGAGACACACAGATTCAAGAATTCTCTAGAACAGAATCTATTAAGACTCAGCAATCTATTTGAGATGATGAAAGAGGGAAATGAAAGAGGTCTTTATTACTTGTGTTTTCAAATTTTAAAATTACCCATCTTTCTTTTTTGTATTTCCTATTAAGTCTTTCAGTGATGTTAAGATTTTAACTTTAAACTTTTCTTTCTTTTCCTAATTATATTCTTGTTGGATAAATGAAATTATTATAACAGTATATATATTGAGTATAAATTTTCTATAGATTCTCTACACTAATTTTGTATTCTATCATGCCTAAATTCCAAATTTCCACATAATTTCTATATCCATTATTTCCACTTCCTTGTAATTTATTAACACTGTTGAACTCTGCCTGCCTACCCACCTGCCAATGCAGGCAACTTAAGAAACATGGGGTTCAATCCCTGGGTCAGGAAGATCCCCTGGAATAGGGCATGGCAACCCACTCCAACATTTTTGCTTGGAGAATCTCACAGACATAAGAGCCTTGTGGCTATGGTCCATAGGGCTGCAAAGAGTTAGACACGACTGAAGTAACTCAGCAAGCATGCATGCACATTGAACTATGCACTTATAGTTACAGCTCATCATGTGCTATAAAAGATCTTGCTGTTTGCAATGTTTTCTTAAATGTTTAATTGAATGATAATTCAATTAGCATTTTGAAGAGGTTTTACTATTTCATTATGTGTGTTCATAACATCCTCCTGAACTTTCTTCACTGCTGAAAAAAACAATCTACCTGCATCTCAAATAGAAAGTGGAGTTTCTATTTGGATGCTGAGTCTGCTACTTGTCATCAAGTTTTGTGTTTCTGGCTATAACAATGTATGGGTATAACAACATATTCTGACTAATTATATTTCTGCTCAAGCACATAAAGGAACTTATACTGCATTTAAAATCATGTATATGTGTCTCTTTTAGAATTTTTTTGTGTATTTACTTCTGCAAATATTATCATTAGTAACTTTTAATTTAAAACTCCTTTATGAGCTCTCTATTTTAGCCTCTTGGGTTTTTTAAAACAAATATTTTAGTTTTGTATAGACGTTTCTTTTAACCTCTTACTATACACTTAAACGTTTGTAACTTCTAAAGAATTTAAAGCTCTTGCTAAAGGAGGAAGAGGATAAAAGATAATTGGTGAAGCATGGACACTGAGGAGACAGGGTTGAAGTAAAAATTCAGAAGAGTTAACTGTCACATAAATTCATTTCAATGTATGACAAAAACCACTGCAATGATGTAAAGTAATTAGCCTCCAACTAATAAAAATAAATGGAAAAAAATAAATAAAAATATAAAAAAAATTAAAAAATTGTCACATAAAGTATAAAAATTTTGATTTTCTTATCCACTTCTTTTTTTACTCCCCACTTTGTTTTTCTTTTATTTCTTCCTCATTTTTCAGGAGAATTAATCAAATTATCAAAGATAACAAGCTTCTGTTGTCGTCTTCTTTAACCCACTTTTTAAACTTGTAATTTTTTAAAATTTTCACTCATTAAAAAAAATTTTTTTTGGTCACACCACATGGCATGTGGGATCTCAGTTCCTCAACCAGCAATCAAAACTGCACCCTCTACATTGGAAGGGCGGAATCTCAACCACTGGATCACCAGAGAATTCCCATAACATTTTCACTCTTTTCAGTGTTCACCTAACTATCCCGCAGAGATCTGAAATCCAATATTAAGTCTGTGTAACTGTAAATCTTTTGTTTTCATAAAGAAAACAAAACTACCCCCAGACACAGAAAGACAAATAGTTAATTTTTTCACTTTTGTGTAGAATCTAAAATAAAGTCCAACTCATAGAAACAGAGAGTAGAATGATGGTTGCCAGAGGCTGGGAGATGATGGTCAAAAAGATACAAATTTTCAATTAAAAAATGAGTAAGCTCTGGGGATCCAGTGCACAGCATGCTGATTATTGTATACTAGAAATTTCTATTAACAGTATTGTGTATACTAGAAATGTGTACAAATCATATTCTCACCACATACACACACACACACAAAAGTAACTACGTGGGGTAACAGATGTGGTACTTGATTACAGTAATCATTTCACAATGTGTACATATATCACATCATCACATTGTACACTATTAAAAAAATCATGTTGTACAACCTAAATGTATACAATTTTTGCCAATCATACCTCAATAAAAATGAAAAAAAAAAGAAAGAATTTCTCTTAAACCGTGAACACCCTTTCAGTTGATGACCGCATCTGAGGCTGTCCTCCCACTAGCTTGTGTCTATTCATTTGCTCTTTCATTTTGGAAACCATGGCCTTTTTTTTTTTTTAATATTGATATGATCATTGTAAGATCTAGAAATACTGTGACTTGTTTAAATCATATAATCAGAGAATTACACTGAGGCCCTCTGAATTAAATTTTTAAAACTCTGACTTTATTCATTTAGGACCATCTTTATTTAGTTTTCTCAAATTTCTTGCTAACCTTTGCAATAATAATTCTATTTCTCACCTTTTCAGTTAAAAGAACTGCTGTAATTATTTTTTATTATTTTCCTTGTCTTGTTTCTTTCTACTTGTATTCTCATAAATAGGAAAATAATTTTTTGATGCTGCGATTAAGTTTCATCATCACCTAACTTAAGAACCTTACTTCTTCTTTCATTGCTATATTATATCCAGATGTTTTCTGTTTCTTCTATTCACCTGGTCATGGATTATAATTTACCATTTATTCTTTCTAATGTTTTTATACTTTCACGCCTCTGTAAAACTTGAGCTTAATATTCTTCAAACTTCTTTCCAGAAAAAAAACCTGACTTTTCTGTGTCTACTGTGTTTCTCAGCTCTGCAGACAGTTATTTGAGGCTTCTCTGACTGAACTACCTGTCTGACTCCATTTCCTTCCTGCCTGCCACAGTAATTATTAATAATGGTCTTTACAGATGTCTTCTTTTCTCCTTTTCTTTTCTGTCAGCTCAACTTTTCTTTTCTTTTTTAAGGCGCTAAAGGAGGTTGTTTTGTTTTATTGTTTTGGTCTGGGCGTTTTTAAGTCTTTAAATCTTCCACTGGTAATTTTCTCTCCAATTATCTATTTGGAGAGCTCTCACTGCATCCTACTACTAGTTATTCTGTATTCCCTTTCACGTCTTGCTTTAGACTCAAGAGTGCTGCTTTCTGATACCTTGATTAACCTTCTCTTTTTCTAAAAACCAGATATAATTTAGGACAATGATTTGCCACCACTGGAGATACCGGAGACTACATGCAATGTGTACTGAAAGTCAACATGTTATAAATGTTATGGATATTTAACTCTAAGAGGGAATATTCTAAAGGGGAAACCACTTAAATGAATGTAATTCTGTAAAGGTTGTTAAAAAGAACGACAGTCACTTTATTACTCAAATCTAGGAGTTACTAGTGACATTGATAATATCATCACTGAACGTTGGATGGAAGGCTTTATGGAGCAAACGAAATTTTTAATAGACATCAAAAAGTGGATTGGGAATTCCCTGGTAGTCTAGTGGTTAGGATTTGGCACTTTCACTACAGGGGCCCCAGGTTTTACCTCTGGCCCTGGTCAAGGAACTAACACCCCACAAAGCCATACCACGTGGACAAAAAACAAAAGAATGAGTGGGTCAACTTTGAACAGAAAAAGAAGGGAAGAGAAAGTATTCCAAAAAGGTACATGACAACATGAGAAGATTTCAGGAAATGGGGGTTAAGAATGGAAATGGGAAGGACCTGCTCAGGAAATAAAGGTAATAGTCAGCTGAAACCACACGGTTATTCAGTGCAATGAAAAATGAAGTTGGAAAACTAGGAAGCCAAGCTGTCTGAGGATTTAACTACCAGATGAATTAAATGTGAGGGTAAAGAGATCAAAGATGAGAAAATGGAAGACCAGGTAAGAGACAATTACCATCACATGGGTAACAGTTAAGGCAGTTTGGGGAAAAAACTGGTAAATTTGGTTTCATACTATTTGAGTTGCAGCTGACAGTAGAAGACTTGAGCAGAAAAGTCCACTAGACAATCGGATATGTAAATTGGAGTTGAAAAGAGGAGAAATGGTTGGAAGTTAGCTCAGTTGGTAAAGAATCCACCTACAATGCAGGAGACCGTGGTTCGATTCCTGGATGGGGAAGATCTGCTGGAGAAGGGATAGGCTACCCACTCCAGTATTCTTGGGCTTCCCTTGTGGCTCAGCTGGTAAAGAATCCACCAGCAATGCGGGAGACCTGGGTTTGATCCCTGGGTTGGGAAGATACCCTGGAGAAGGGAAAGGCTACCCACTCCAGTATTCTTGTCTGGAAAAGGCCATGGATTATACAGTCCATGGGGTCACAAAGAGTCAGACACAACTGAGTCACTTTCACAACTTTCACTTTCACTGGTTGGAAGTAACAATTGAAGAAAAAAGATAATACAGAACTAAAAGCATCTTAGGGAGTACCCACTTTTAGAGGATGAAAGAAAGAAGTGAGATAAACTTCTCTGTTAAAGATGCAGAGATTTACTGACTGTTGGGGGGTAGGTGGGAGGGATTTTTATCTCCTCTCTCCATTTCCTGACACACAGCTCAAACCCACATTACTTATATCAACTCCAATCATTCATTACCACTATTTAACATGAGTCTTCAATGTTGTGGGAAAATACACTGCAATTTTTAAATTAACAAAATTTCTTCTACAAAATAAAATTCAATAATTATGATTACCTTCCAAACAAAGCTGTATGAAATTTCTGCATGCTTTAGGAGCTTCTTTTGACCACAACTCTATATCAATATCTCCAGCTGTAGTTTTCAATAAAACCTGTAGAAATCATATAAAAATCATTGTTATCATTTTGCTTCATGATGAGCTCACTGGCTATTCAACATAAAGTATTCACTACTGAATTTTCAATTTTAAAACAAAAATGAGAAACTTTGCATGGTTTCTGTTGTTATACTCAAAAACTTCAAATAGTACAAGTTACTCTATTTCTATCTTTTAAATACTATTTTCAGAAATAATTTATGCTTTAAGGAAAAAATAGCACAAATATTTTTTAATCACAGAAAAACCTGCATTCATTTAAAAATCAATACTGTAAACTTGCTTTAATTTTAAAAGTTTTCCACATCATTTCTTCCAATAAAATTGGTATAGCAAATTAAGACATTAAAGAACAATGATCCCATGAAACTACAGCACTGTAAGACGATTTCACAATTATCTTTTAACATATGAACAGTGGACCTCTTCATTCACAATCATGCCATTTCTAATTTACAAAGGAACATTCTTAATCCAATTCTGGGTTGTATATTAGGGATCAAACCAGTGTCTCCTGTGTCTCCTACTCTGGCAGGTGGATTCTTTACCACTGAGCCACCAGGGAAGCCCCTTAAAATTATTATTTACAGTAAATGAAATCCTTTGGTAGTCTCCTTTCCACAGCCCATAAAGGCAGTTACTCCTTGGTGCGAGCAGCCATCTGACAGGAACCAAATCCCTACTGAGTCCACAGGAAGAAACAACTTATAACAGTCTTATTAATAACCACAAACAACCAAAAAGAACCGAAAGCTCTACATTCGAACACCCTGGGACAGCTGAAACCAACTTCTCTAGTATCACTTCCCCCACATACCCAGCCCTCAATGTACCAAAGTAGAACAGAGTTCACTGTCAATCACTGATTAATTGTCCCTGACATATGACCATCACCATCACTTTTGCTACAATTGCCTTTCAGTTTCTGCTTCAGAAGCCCAAATTACACTGCCATAATTTATATAATATTGATGAATGCATTGTATCTTTTTGGGCTTTTACCAGCTACATAGTTCTCTTATAGTGCACCTGGCGGTGGAGGAGGTGACAATATCTATACTGTGGTAGATTTTTAAATGGTTTCCTTAACCCTGAAAGAAATACAAAAGAACCAAAAGTACTAATGTGCATGATTTTCTCAATCCTTTACACTTTCTCTACAAAAAGAAGGGGACATTTGTTGAGTGCCTCCTATGTGCCAAGGCTATCTAATGCAAAGCCCATGCTGCTTCTATCTCACCATACTGCCTCCACAAACTTCTCCATAAATTCCACACTATGCTGGAAAAACAAAGTCCATCAAACTCTAGGGCACCATCACATGTTGCAAAATAAATCTCCAAGTTACCCTGGTCACAAATGATTTGAGTAGAAAACAGTGTCTAAGTCAAAAGCACTCATATATTGCTTTGCATATGAGCATATTCAGGCATACCTCTGAGACATCACAGGTTTGGTTTCACACCACTACAACAAAGTGAATATTGCAAAAAAATGAGTCACATAAAGTTTTTGGTTTCTCAGTGCATATAGAAGTTATGTTTACCCTAGACTGTATGCAACAGCATTATTGTCCAAAAAGACAAAGTGCAAACCTTAATTTTAAAATACTTTATTACTAAAAACTGCCAATCTACATGTAAGCCTTTAGCAAATCATAATCTTTTCGCTGGTGGAGGGCTTAAAATGTTGCAAGAATTACCCAAATGTGACCCAAAGACACAAAGTGAACAAATGCTGTTGGAAAAATGCCAAGAGGCTTGCTCTTATATGTATAAGTGCATCACTTTACTGTATACCTGAGACTAACACAACATTGTACATTAACTATACTTCAATTTAAAAAAAATAATAAAAGAATAACTGAATGGATCATTGAAGAAATCAAAGGAAAAAAAATACCTAGGGACAGAAACACCACATACCAAACCTGATGGGGTACAACAAAAGTGTTTTTAAAAGAGAAGGTCATAGCAATATAGGCCAAACTCAAGAAACAAGACACTCTAAAACAATCTAACTTTACACCTAGATGAACTAGAAAAAGATGAACAAATGAAGTCAAAAGTTAGTAGAAGAAAGGAAATAAGAACACAGTATAAATAAATGAAATACAGACTAAAAAACAATAGAAAAGATCAATGAAGTGAACGACTAGCTCTTTGAAAAGATAAACAAAACTGACAAAACTTTAGCCACACTCACAAAGAAAAAGAAGGCTCAAATAAATAAAATCAGAACTGCAAAAGAAATGACAACTGATACCATACAAATACAAAGGAGCAAAGAGATACTCTGAACAATTATATGCCAACAAATTGGACAACCTAGAAAAAAATAGATAAATTCCTAAAAACATACAATCTTCCATGACTGAATCGTGAAAAAAGAGAAAATCTAAATAGACAGATTACTAGTAAGGAGATCTAATCAGTAATCAAAAACTGCCAACAAACAAAAGCATAGGTTCAGATGGCTTCACTGATGAATTCTACCAAATATTCAAAGAGTAAATATCTATCCTTTTTAAACTCATTTTACAAAGCTAGCATTATCCTGATACCAAAACCAAAGAAACCACAAAACAAGAAACTACCAGAGCTAATCAATGAATATAGTAAAGTTGCAGGATATAAAATTAACACACAGAAATCTCTTGCATTCCTATACACTAACAAGGAGAAAACAGAAAGAGAAATTAAGGAATCAATTCCATTCACCACTGCAATGAAAATAATAAAATACTTAGGTTTAAATCTACCTAAAGAAACAAAAGACCTATATATAGAAAACTATAAAACGCTGATGAAAGAAATCAAAGATGAGACAGAGAAATATACCATGTTCATGCATCAGAAAAATAAATATAGTGAAAATGAGTATACTACCCAAAGCAATCTACAGATTCAATGCAATCCCTATCAAGCTACCAATGGTATTTTTCACAGAACTGAAACAAATAATTTCACAATATGTATGGAAATACAAAAAACCTCGAATAGCCAAAGCAATCTTGAGAAAGAAGAATGGAACTGGAGGAATAAACCTGCCTGACTTCAGACTATACTACAAAGCTACAGTCATCAAGTCAGTATGGTACTGGCATAAAGACAGAAATATAGATCAATAGAATAAAATAGAAAGCCCAGAGATAAATCTACATACCTATGGACACCTTATCTTTGACAAAAGAGGCAAGAATATACAATGGGGAAAAGACAATCTCTTTAACAAGTGGTGCTGGGAAAAGTGGTCAACCACCTGTAAAGAATGAAACTAGAACACTTTCTAACACCATACACAAAAATAAACTCAAAATGGATTAAAGATCTAAATGTAAAAGATCTAAATGTAAGACCAGAAACTATAAAACTCCTAGAGGAAAATATAGGCAAAACACGCTCTGACATAAATCACAGCAGGATCCTCCATGACCCACCTCCCAGAGTAATGGAAATAAAAGCAAAAATAAACAAATGGGACCTAATTAAACTTAAAAGCTTTTGCACAACGAAGGAAACTATAAGCAAGATGAAAAGACAGCCTTCAGAGTGGAAGAAAATACTGGCAAATGAAGCAACTGACAAAGAATTAATCTCAAAAATATACAAGCAACTCCTGCAGCTCAATTCCAGAAAAATAAACGACCCAATCAAAAAATGGGCCAAAGAACTAAAGAGACATTTCTCCAAAGAAGACATACAGATGGCTAACAAACACATGAAAAAATGGTCAACATCACTCATTATCAGAGAAATGCAAATCAAAACCACAATGAGGTACCATCTCAGAATGGTCAGAATGGCTGCTATCAAAAAGTCTACAAACAATAAATGCTGGAGAGGGTGCAGAGAAAAAGGAATCCTCTTACACTGTTGGTGGGAATGCAAACTAGTACAGCCACTATGGAGAACAGTGTGGAGATTCCTTAAAAAACTGGAAATAGAACTGCCATACAACCCACAATTCCACTGCTGGGCATACACACCAAGGAAACCAGAATTGAAAGAGACACATGTACCCCAATGTTCATCGCAGCACTGTTTATGATACCCAGGACACGGAAGCAACCTAGATGTCTATCAGCAGACAAATGGATAAGAAAGCTACATATACACAATGGAATATTACTCAGCCATTAAAAAGAATGCATTTGAATCAGTTCTAACGAGATGGATGAAACTGGAACCTATTATACAGAGTGAAGTAAATCAGAAAGAAAAACACCAATATAGTATACTAACGCAAATATATGGAATTGAGAAAGATGGTATCGATAACCCTATATGCAAGACAGCAAAAGAGACACAGATATAAAGAACATTCTTTTGGACTCTGTGGGAGAAGGTGAGGGTGGGATGATTTGAGAGGGTCAGTTCAGTCAGTCAGTCAGTTCAGTCACTCAGTCATGTCCGACTCTTTGCGACCCCATGAACTGCAGCATGCCAGGCCTCCCTATCCATCACAAACTCCTGGAGTTTACTCAAACCCATGCCCATCAAGTCAGTGATGCCATCCAGCCTTCTCATCCTCTGTCATCCCCTTCTCCTCCTGCCCCCAATCCCTCCCAGCATCAGGGTCTTTTCCAATGAGTCAACTCTTCGCATGAGGTGGCCAAAGTACTGGAGTTTCAGCTTCAGCATCAGTCCTTCCAATGAACACCCAGGACTGATCTCCTTTAGGATGGACTGGTTGGATCTCGCTGCAGTCCAAGGGACTCTCAAGAGTCTTCTCCAACACCATAGTTCAAAAAGCATCAATTTTTCGGTGCTCAGCTTTCTTCACAGTCCAACTCTCACATCCATACATGACCACTGGAAAAACCATAGCCTTGACTAGACGGACCTTGAACATATATATTATCATATGTGAAGCAGATCACCAGTCCAGGGTCAATGCATGAGACAGGGTGCTTAGGGCTGGTGCCCTTGGATGACCTGGGGGGGGGGGTGCAATGGGGAGGGAGGTGGGAGGGGGGTTCTGGATGGGGAACACATGTGTACCTGAGGCTGATTCATATTAATGTATAGCAAAAACCATTACATTATTGTAAAATAATTAGACTCCAATTAAAATAAATTAATTAATTAGAAAAAAATGAACAACAACAACAGAAATAAAGGCCAGAAAGTAAAAAGAAAAAAGTCCATACTACCCAAATAATCTATACATTTAGTGTAATCCCTATCAAAACTCCAACAGCATTTTTCACAGAACTAGAACAAATAATCCTGAAATTTGTATGGAACCACATAAGACCCCAAATGGACAAAGAAACCTTGAGAAAGAATAACCACCCAGATGTATCACATTCCCTGATTTCAAACTATACTACAAAACTATAGCAATCAAAACAGAATGGTATTGGTATAAAAAACAGAGGCATAGATCAATGGGACAGAATAGAAAGCTCAAAAATAAGACCACACTTACATGGTTAATTAGTTTACCATGGAGGCAAGAATGCATAATGGGGATAGGATACTCTCTTCAATAATCTATCCTGGTTAATTAGTTTACCATGGAGGCAAGAATGCATAATGGGGATAGGATACTCTCTTCAATAATCTATCCTGGGAAAACTGAACAGCTGCAAGTAAAAGAGTGAAACTGAACCACTATAATATACCATATATAAAAATAAACTCAAAATGGACTTAAGACTTGAATGCAAAATCTGAAACCATAAATACCCTAGAATAAAAGATATGCAGTAAGCACCTTTGGTACTGGTCTTAGCAAATTGCTGATTTTTTGGATCAGATTTCAAATGCAAGGGCAACAAAGGAAAAAATAACCAAATGGGACGATATGAACTAACAAGATTCTGCACAGCAAAGGAAACCATCAACAAAATGAAAACATAACCTACGGAATTGGGAGAAGATACTTGCACATCATATATCTGATAAAGGGTTAATCTCCAAAATATAAAGAGAACTTATATAAAATATGTAACAAAAAATCTGTTTAAAAACCATATGTAAGGATCTGACTACACATTTTTTCCAAAGAAGACATACAGATGGGCAACAGGCACATGGAAAAGATGCTCAAAATCACTAATCATAAGGTAAATGCAAATCAAAACCACAGTGAGGTATCACCTCACACCCAACAGAATGGTTATCATTAAAAAGATAAAAAATAACAAGCACTAGCAAAGATATGGAAGAAGGGAACATCTGTGAACTGTGGGTGGGAATATAAATTGGCACAGCCACTATGGAAAACACTGTGGAGGTTACTCAAAAAATTCAAAATGAACTACCATACTAACCAGCAATTCTACTTTTGAATATTTATCGAAAGAAAAAGAAGACACTAACTAGAAAAGATATATGCGCCCCTACGTTCACTGCAGCATTATTACAAAAGCTAGCAAAGTAATGCTCAAAATTCTCCAAGCCAGACTTCAACAGTGAGTGAATCAAGAACTTCCAGATGGTCAAGCTGTATTTAGAAAAGGCACAGGAACCAGAGATCAAACTGCCAACATCCACTGGATCATCAAAAAAGCAAGAGAGTTCCAGAAAAATACTTACTTCTTCATTGATTATGCTAAAGCCTTTGACTGTGTGAATCACACACATCAAGACTGCCAGGAGAAGTATCAATGACCTCAGACATGCAGATGACACCACCCTTATGGCAGAAAGCGAAGAAGAACTAAAGAGCCTCTTGATGAAAGTGAAAGAGGAGAGTGAAAATGCTGACTTAAAACCCAACATTCAAAAAATGAAGATCATGGCATCCAGTCCCATCATTTCCTCGCAAATTGATAGGGAAACAATGGAAATAGTGACAGACTCTTTTCTAGGGCTCAAAAATCACTGCAGATGGTGACTGCAGCCATGAAATTAAGACACTTGCTCCCTGGAAGAAAAGCTATGATCAACCTAGACAACATATTAAAATGCAGAGACATTACTTTGCCAGCAGAGGTTCATCTAGTCAAAGCTATGGTTCTTCCAGTAGTCATATATGGATGTGAGAGTTGGACCATAAAGAAAGCTGAGCACCGAAGAATTGATGCCTTCGAACTGTGGTGTTGGAGAAGACTCTTGAGAGTCCCTTGGACTGCAAGGAAATCAAACCAGTCCATCCTAAAGGTAATCCTGAATATTCACTGGAAGGACTGATGCTGAAGCTGAAGCTCCAATACTTTGGCCACCTGATATGATATGACTCATTGGAAAAGACCCTGATGCTGGGAAAGAATGAAGGCGGGAGGAGAAGGGGATGACAGAGGATGAGATGGTTGGATGGCATCACCAACTCGATTGACATGAGTTTGAGCAAGTTCCCGGAGTTGGTGATGGACAGGGAGGCCTGGCGTGCTGCAGTCCATGGGGTCGCAAAGCGTCGGACGCAACTGAGCGACTGAACTGAACATATGGAAACATCTTCAGTGTCCACTGATGGAGGAGTATAAAGAAGACAAGCAGAATACTCCTCAGCCAGAAAAAGAAAGTAATATCGCCATGTGCCGCAACATGGGTGGAGCTTAAGAGTATCATGCTAAATGAACTAAGTCTGACAGAGAAAGATAAATACCACACGATTCCATTTACATGTGGACTCTGAAACAGAAACAAATAAAACCCAGACTCTTAGATACAGAAAACATTCTGGTGGTTGCCAGAGGTGAGAAACAGTGAAAATGGGTGGGAGGTGAGGGGTAGAATAGGTGAAGGGAATCAAGAGGTGCAAACCTCCAGTTGCATAATAACTAAGTCAGGGGGATGAAAAGTACAGCATAGAGAATACAGTCAATAAAATAGCATTAACTTTGTATGCTGACAAGTGGTAACTAGACTTATTGTGGTGACCATTTTGTAAGGTTTCAAATGTTAAATCATGTTGCACACATGAAAATAATAATGTATATCACATACACCATACTTCAATAAAAAATAATAGGGATAATATCTTCATAGGTTCATTGTGAGGACAAAATGAGTTATTATACACAGACTGCTTAGAACAGTACCTGATAGAGTAAATGCTCCAAATATGGTAGCTATAATTGTAATTATTATTTTTATAAACATTTTTGACAACAGGAAATTTATAAAAGTAAGTTTATATGGTAAAACCACATTATGGTTGGGTCACCTTTCTAACCAGGTTTTCTTAATCTTTTCATTGGTAAGCTACTGAATTAAAAAAGAAGGTAAATTGCTCCTCCTTCAGCCATGCATTCCATCTGGCCATAACTACTCCGTCATGTCATCAGTGGCTCTTTTTCTTAACGCTTACAAGTAAGACAATACTATGATAATGTTTCTTAAGAATAAAACATATGGTTAATATAAAAATGTAGATTAAATCATCATAATACACGGAAATTTCATTTTCAGTAGATAAGGACATTTCGGTCGAGGGGTACTTTCTAAGTTGATGCTACTCTTTGAAGAGAGAAATTTTGTCCCATTTATTTGGAATATCTTTGAATCCTTTTAGTACAGACCATGAAACAAACATTCATTAAGCAAACTTATTACATCTGCTTTAAATTCTTTCCAGGCCAAAATTATTTTCTTTTTATTTTTAATTGGAGGATAACTGCCTTACAATATTGTGTTGGCTTCTGCCACACATCAACATGAATCAATCATAGGTATACAGGTGTGCCCTCCCTCTTGAACCTCCCACCTTCCACCCCATCCCACGCCTCTAGGTTGTCAGATAGCACTGATCTGAGTTCTCCAGGCCAAAATTCTCGCCAAGCTGTCTATGGTACAGAATTTTGAAGCTTCAGTTGGTTTTACGCAATTAAAAAGCCCCAAACTGGTTTTGAAGGAAAACTTGGGCTATGCCTGATATTCTCTCTCAGTCCAATTCTGTTCAGAAGGACAATGTTTAACACAGTTTGCATATACTAATTTGCATGACTATTTCATCAATGTGTATTTCACCCAACTTATGCTGTGATAATAGCGACAATGCTGGCTTTTCTTTCCACTACCCAGTTTCGCTGACAAAGCCCAGGTCAAAAGATACTTCCTCCATGAAGACTTTCTACTTTACCAGTTGCTAACTTCTCAGTAATACCATAACAAATGCTCCTCTGTCCACTAGAACGCCTAGCAAACATACCATTAGATTTTTCTCTACCTGCCTGCCTTTAAAACTAAAACCATTAGCTCTTCTAGGACAGCAACAGGTTTTATCCATCCACCTTTGTATTCCCCGCACCTGGTGCATAGTAGGCATTCAATAAAGAATTGTAGAACAAATGGAGAAATAGCGATCTCCAAGTTTAGCAAAAGAATGTCAATTTTTAAAACATACTTGGCTTTTTACCTACGACCCTAGAAAACGCATGCAGAGTTAGGGTGAAGCAAAACAAGGAACAGAGCGGCCAAGAGGTTGGTAGATGGAGAAATAATTGTTGGTTGATGAAGAAATCACCACTTGAGGACTTTTTCAATTATGTGCTGAGAAGTGCCAGCATATGGTTTTCAATGCAATCCTGCTCAGAGACATAGGTAAAGTTTTTGCAATCTCTTTCACCCCTACAACCCAAGAATTCCTTTAATCAATGAGATATCACTTTGGGGAGCCCAGGTACCCTAGGTGAGACCCACCTTCCCGTTCGTGGGAGGCTCCTGGATGTAAATGTTACTCATTCCGGTCAGTGCTCAGGATTCCGCTCCTAAATGGGGATGAGAGCGAACCGCCGGTAACTAGAGCTGTCCACCTATCGGTACACGCTTCCTTAAATTGGGAAGTCGTGGAAAGCTCCAGCCGGTCAATACCCGCAAGACAGTGGCACCACAACAAACACTCTCTTCCCAAAGCTAGGTCCTCACGGACGCCGCCATGTTCCTCCCGGACCCGAGCACCGCTAATCCTGAAAAGGGGGATTCCAATGGTGTCCAGGGAATTGAGAAGAGACTGTTAATCTTCTGTGGATTAAGTTAATTTGTATTCCAATTTTTAAACCAACAGTTCGTAAGTCTTGGTGTTGTTTACTTCACTACACGCCTGGGCAGGTCTCCTTCACCCCCTCGTAGCTGGCAGTAATGGTTCGCGCTGTGTGTGGTGTACAATACGATTCCCCCGGAAACTGCATCAGCAGCCACTTGGTTCCGCGATCTCCAGGGGCTTTTAGGGCCTTCGCCTCCTGTCACCCGGGTGCCTCGGCGCGGGTGGGAGACAGACGGCCCCCTGGCTGGGTGTTGTCCTCGCGGCCAGCGGGAAGCGAGCGATCCCTCAGAAGCCTAGGGGTTCTGCGACCCCTCTTACCAACGCCATGGCAATTCCAGGTAAAGACCAACCTCAGGGGTTTGGGCGATGGAGGGAGTAGGTAGGGCAGGTTAGTGTGCGCCGGGTAAGGAGTAGCGCCCAAGGGTGGAGGCGTTAAAATTATCAGGTTCGTTTGGTTTACAACAAAACTTTTACAGTCCAAAAATAAACTCTAAAGGAAAGAAAAGAAAAAAGAAACTATCTCCCCCCGCAGCAGCCCAGCTCCCACTGCCAAAAACGGACTTACCGGGAAAGTATATATAGGGCTGCGTGGGGGAGGGGGTGTTTGAGACAGACTCCTATCTGCAGGCCTAGGAGGCAGCTGGCCCAGAAAAACTAACCTCAACTTTAGTATGGTTTGAAAATAAAATTTGAGGTGGCAACACTTGGCGGAGCCAAGAAGCCGAAGGCATTGTTTGCACTGGAAGTGTCAGGGATGAAATGAGCCTCTGGGGTTCCATTCTCTCTCTTCCTGTTACATGTAGTAGCTGTGTGGTCCTGAACCCGTCTTTTTGCCCTTCTGGGCCTCAGTTTCTGCAACTGTTTTTAAAAAAAAAAGAAAAAGGAGATGTGTTGATTTATACCTGTGGTTCCTTTCAGTTCTCCTTGCAGGAGCTATTTTGAGAAATATACACCACCACCCCCACTCCCACCCTTCCCCCTACTCAAACATGCAACTTGGAGATTCACAGTACTTATTAAAGACAGAATTGCTGTGGTTAAGAAGCCCTAACTTTGTTTTAACCTGCCCTCGCCAGTATTATTGACTACATTTGTTCTGTGGCAGCCTTTGCTGAACTGTACTTTGCACATAGCTGTTGCGTATGGGAAGGTTGGACTGTTCTACAAACTGCGGTTTGGGAGGATCACACAGGGCACTGTCAGTTCCATCATGTCCGACTCTTTGCGACCCCGTGAACTGCAGCATGCAGGCTTCCTGTCCATCACCAACTCTGGGAACTTGCTCAAACTCATGTCCATTGAGTTGGTGATGCCATCCAACCATCTTATCCTCTGTCGTCCCCTTCTCCCGCCTTCAGTCTTTCCCAGCATCAGGGTCTTTTCCAGTGTCAGTCAGTTCTTCGCATCAGGTGCTCAGAGTATTGGAGCTTCAGCATCAGCTTCATTCCTTCCAATGAATATTCAGGATTGATTTCTTTTAGGATTGACTAGTTTGCTCTCCTTGCAGTCCAAGGGACTGTGAGTCTTCTCCAACACCACAGTTCAAAAGCATCAATTTTTCGGTGCTCAGCTTTCTTTATAGCCGAACTCTCACATCCACACATGACTACTGAAAAAACCATAGCTTTGACTAGACAGATCTTTGTTGGCAAAGTAATGTCTCTGCTTTTTAATACGCTGTCTAGGTTGGTCATAGCTTTTCTTCCAAGGAGCAAGCGTCTTTTAACTTCATGGCTGCAGTCACCATCTGCAGTGATTTTGGAGCCCAAGAAAAGAAAGTCTGTCACTGTTTTCATTGTTTCCCTGTCAACTTGCCAGGAAGTGATGGGACCAGATACCGTGATCTTCTTTTTTTCAATGTTGAATTTTAAGCCAGCTTTTTCACTCTCCTCTTTCACCATCATCAAGAGGTTGTTTAGTTCTTCGCTTTCTGCCATAAGGGTGGTGTCATCTGCATATCTGAGATTATTGATATTTCTCCTGGCAGTCTTGATTCCAGCTTGCATTTCATCCAGTCCAGCATTTCTCATGATGTACTCTGCATATAAGTTAAATAAGCAGGGTGACAATATACAGCCTTGACATACTCCTTTCCCCATTTTGAACAAGTCTGTTCCATGTCTGGGTCTGGTTCTAAGTGTTGTTTGGCCTGCGTACAGGTTTCTCAGAAGGCAAATAAGGTGGTCTCATATTCCCATCTCTTAAAGAATTTTCCACAGTTTATTGTGATCCACATAGTCAAAGGCTTCAGCGTAGTCAATAAAGCAGAAGTAGATATTTTTCTGGAACTCTCTTGCTTTTTCTATGATCCAGTGGATGTTGGCAATCTGATATCTGGTTCCTCTGCCTTTTCTAAATCCAGCTTGACCATCTGGAATTTCTCAGTTCACGCACATTGAACCCTGGCTTTGAGAATTTTGAGCATTACTTTGCTAGCGTGTGAGACCAGTGCCATTGTGTGGTATTTTGAACATTCTTTGGCATTGCCTTTTTTGGGGATTGGAATGAAAACTGACCTTTTCCAGTCCCATGGCCACTGCTGAACTTTCCAAATTTGCTGGCATATTGAGCGCAACACTTTAACAGCATCATTTTTTAGGATTTGAAATAGCTCAACTGGAATTCTAACACCTCCACTAGCTTTGTTTGTAGTGATGCTTCATAAGGCCCACTTGACTTTGCATTCCAGGATGTATGGCTCTAAGTGAATGATCTCACCATCATGGTTATCTGGGTCATTGAGATCTTGTAGGAGATATAAGATACACTTATTCATAGGCCTGGCAATTTTCATTAAAGGCATATTGCATGCTAGGCTCTGTGCTAGGCCCCAGGAATACAGTTGCTCTTCTCACAGGACTTGCAGTTTAGCAGTGAAAAGAAAGTACTAGAAAGTCAGACAGGTGTATGACGGGGAAAATACACAGCCTTGAGGAGCACATAGAAAGGGCATCTGATAGGAGACTGGAGAGTTCAGAAGGACTTTCCAGAGGATGTGGCATTTAGAGTGAGACCTGAAGAATTGTGGGAGGGGGAGTTATAGCCGGAGGGACCAGATATGCAAAGGAAGAGGAAATGTGTGAGAAGACGAAAGGAAATATGTGCCCTTTGGATGGAACTCGGAGTACAGAGAGAACTGAGAAATTAACTAGAGACAGAACAACAGTAGCTATTATTTACTAAATATTTGCTGCATGTCAGATGTGTCGGACACTGTCTCAAGCATTGTATTTTTCTCTTATTTAACATTGGCACCCACGCTGTGAGATAGGTATTAAAATGTCCATTCTGCAGTTCAGAATGCTGAGGGACAGAGAAGTCAAGTGAGTAAATTGAGACAGCTAGGAAGTGACGGGTCAGTGCGGTTCCTCTGGACCCTGTGTGCTTATCCATTTTGCCATGTTTTAGTATAATTACGAGGCAATTTCCCATTCATAGAGGACATTTTAAGCCATGAGAAGGAGTTTGGATGTTTCCATCAGGACCACAGGAAGAGATTTAAGGATTTTTAAACGTACTCACGTTTGGAAAGCGCATTATGGCTGCACAGTAGATTGGAGGAGAGCTGGTTTGGAGGCAGAGTAACTGGTAAGTTATGATGGCTCACCAGATGGTCTCAGTAAAAAAGGAGAGAAGTAGATAGATTGGAGATACATTTCTGGTGATAAAATCACTGATTGATTCATGGTAGGTGAGTAAGATTGGAAATGAGGTACACCTGGGTTTCACTGCTAGGCAGTTGGGTGGGACTATTTCAGGCAACACCTGAGAAGAGGCAGTTTTTGGCAAGATGATGTGTTCAGTTGGGTCTTGTGTTGAGGTGTAGTCATGGAATGGAAATATCTAATAGACACTAAGAGAGAAAATCTGTAGCTTGGGAAGGAAAACAGAATCAAAGAACAATTTGGTGTCATCCACACACTTGTAATAGGCCAGGGGAATGGAAGTCTTTGCCCAGGTGGAATGTGTAGAGTGTGAAGGGAAGGTCTGTGACTGGAGCTCGGAGAGTATCAGTTCTCCAGTAAGGGGCCAGTGGAGAAAGTCCAGTCTTCACAGTAGATTGCCTCGGCATCCTGATAAGCTGAGTCAGCCCTGGTGGCCTTTGCCCCACACAGCTGCATCCTGAGTTGACCTGCTGCCACTGTTGGGTTCATTATTTGAGCATGTGTTTTGAGCACCACCGTGGTATAGGCACAGTGGGGGACACAGTGTCACAGCCTGTGTCCTCAGAAAACTTAGGTCAAGTAATGAAATGTGATGCATTGCTTAAGAAAACGGACAAAAGTGATTTAAAAAAAAATCCTTATTGAAGTTCCCTTAGACTTAGACCAGAGTTATAGATATGTTAACCTTCTTTCAATTCAAAATAATGCTTCAAAGTGTAATCATCTTAAATTGTGCCATTAAGTTAGATGGTAAGACATAGATAAACTGCTTAAACCCAGGAAAAAATTGAAATAATAAGCATGACAGCACTGTAAAAGCACAGTAGAAAATGTGAAGGTAATTTCTTGGATGATTGATCCAGATAGCGTATTACACAAAAATAGGGCTACAACGATTCTGATCATCAAAAAGGACAAGAATGCTCTTTTATTTTTAGGTATAATGCTCATACAGATGTTGTTGTTCAGTCGCTCAGTCATGTCTGACTCTTTGTGACCCCATGGACTGCAGCATACCAGACTTCCCTGTCCTT